CCGCCTCGTCGCCTTGAGTGGGCGAAACGAAGAGAGGAGGAAACGGGACATCTTCACGTCACGCCCCTCGTCGGCCTCGTTCAAGCTCGACCTCTTTTTCCAAAAATACGGCCGTCCATTCGAGATATCGCCTTACAAGTAGTGTTATAGGGATTGTAGCGTCCCGCCTACATTGATTTTTTTTTAATCCAAATTTTGGTTAACCGTTCCTTTAAGCAATAAGTGAGAAGCTCAAGAAAGTGGTCAACGTTAATCCCACAGGAACTCTGGAACGGAAGAATACCGCTCTTGTGAATGCACTCTCTCCGAGACAAAAATAGAGAAAGCACTTCGCATTACCTGCGCACCTTCTCTTAAAAATTCAATTATGCATTCGGAATTTTACACCATACAAGCGACGTGCGAGTCGAGGGCTGTCAAATGTTTGCAGATGAAGAAGGCCAAGTGATACTGCCATGAATTCCTTTCAGTAACAGTAACCCTGAAGGGAACCCCCACGTTAATAGTTTTTGCTGCAAAGAACATGTTCAGTTGCGGTTTCTTGCTGGGTTTGACACTTTCTAACAGCCCCGAAACTTCCATCACACTGCACATCACCGCAGCACGGGCTTTCAATTTTTCTTAACGATGGTGGACTCACTTGCTTGAAGTTCTTCCTTTGCCTTGGTGCCGTAGATTGCGTGTGGCAGGACCACGAAGCCTCCCTCCTTTGCCGCTGTGAGCAGCTTCATGTTGTTGTCCAAGAAATGGTCAACGATACCGCTGGTCTTGAAGCATTTCGTCGTTCGACCAAGAGAGCGCTGGAGGACCTCGACGCCTTCGGCCGCACACCTTGCTCTGTCATCTGGTTTGGCCTTATCTCCCATCCATCTCACTAGCGACAGTTTTGTAACCGCGCGCAGGCGCGGTTCCTGGCAAAACTTCGGGCCGTTTTCCAGGCAAGACTTGATTGTCGGAGGAAGCGTCACGTCTCCTAGAACTGTGACTTCTTCTTGCCCTCTCACGCTGCTACAGGTTTTCTCCTTCAGCGTCGTTCTTGCCTTCTGCCAAAAGAACTCGGTGTAGTGCACCGCTGTCGGAGGGGAACACCGTAGGCTCTTTCAGCCGTATATTTCCCTGCCTCGCTAGCGTGGCACTTGAGCCTTAGGGACTCCCTGTACACCCCCCCCCCCCCCTACCTCCTTGTTGTCAAGATTCGGACCTCGAGATACGGCATACTCTTTTTGCGTGGCCAGACGATGGTTGAGCTTAGTTGAATAAGGCGATGACTTGCCGAAGTTAGCATCCGTGGCAAATAGCAATAGCAAATAGCGACAGCATGCCAAAGCGATAATGTTAGTAAGGGGGTTAAAGAGTAAGATGATTAGCGGGGTAACATAGAAAAGAGCTCGATATAAAATAAATAAACTATATTAAGGTACCAATTGGTACCAGTTCGTTCATGATCACCTAAAAAAGCGCCTAAAAATACAAGGACAAGGAAGTAGACATACAAGAGCGCACTCGCAACTGGTTTTATTTGTGAAAACAATCATATATATATAGCTTCGAACTAACCCAAGGGGACGTATCACTTATGCATTTTTGCCCTTTGCCAGGATTTCTTAAGAAAGTTGCATAGTCTTAAGAAAGTCCTCGCGCCACGATGTGCCTGTGGTGTTCACTGCACCCAATAAGCAGGGGCGGCTGTGCCGTGAGATCAACAATCCCATTGTATCAAAACATCTCTGTGATATCATGCACCGCAAAAAATACACGGAGCGTACTACGGGTTTTGTCTACGAAATTCTAGCGTCATGCGGCTCGTCTTATATTGGTCAGACGGGAAGGTTTTACAATGATCCTGCAGGTGAACGCGCTGCGGTGACGAAAGCCACTCCATGGGAGCATCTTGCCACTCACGGCAATCGTTGCCCATGTGCCCCGTCATTTGGCGACACCAGGTTTCTGGCTAGAAACCCGGATAGGGTTTCTAGCCAGATAAGGTTTCGTCATCGTAAGCCGGATAGGGTTTCTGCATCGTAAGAATCAGTGGAAAAAAATCCACACACGCTCCGCTCCTGGCCCACTGGTTTCCAGAACGCAAAGCGCGCGGTGACCAATTTATGGAAGCATGGCACCTCACTGGTATCCCATGTCTGCAAGCATGTGCAGAGTGCCTGTGAACGTAGCATTGGTAGTCTCGTAAATGCATGCATTGCCAGCACGAGCAGAGACGGCGGCGGCCAAATGCCCGGTTTACAATCGTCAGTTTTATAGTGAAAGCAAAAAATTTTGTGTGTCACGAAACCTCGCCCAAGTTGTGTTAGTTATGCTGCGCTCCTTACAGATGAGGAGAGGGTACGGGTGAAAATGAGGGGCATACCGCCCCCTCCGTACCCTCCCCTCCTCCTCCTCAAGAGCTGCGCTCTATTTCGGCATTACCGAGAATTGTTAACATCTTTCTTTTTTTTTTTGTCAAACCTGGTTGTTTACTTGTGTTAGCGGCGACAACAATTTATAAGACAAAAATTACAATATTTAAAGGGAAACTACCAGTTATTTTTTATGTGTTTGAACAAAAAGAATAAAGCCTAAATATACCGTATTTACTCGAGTAATAGCCGCACTATTTATGAAGAAGGCCCTTGCGTCTACTTTTCCACAGAACACATATACAGCCAATCATTGCGTTACGCATAAATAACATAGCAATAAACAGATCGAGAACACGATTCCCCATACAAATGTAACCGTCACAGATGGTATATTCGAACGAAGACGTTATCTTTGTCCGGTTAGCAGCTGAAATCATGCTGTCGATCGCGGTGATTGGCAGTCTGCGTGCTCTGCGGAAAAGCTAACCCTCAGGTTTTCTTCATGTGTAGTGCGGCTATTACTCGAGTAAATACGGTAAACAAACTAAAAAAGTCAACGTTACATGAAAGAAACGTCGCCGTTAAAAATGCAGTGGCAGCACATTATCACAGATAGTTTCAAATTCATTTTATGCATAGCGCGTATCAAAGGAGCGTGTGCACTCTCAGTAAGCCATAATTCAACATTTTGTTGCTTTTGGGGCCGTGTTCGGTGTTTCATCTTTCTCGGGGGTCCATTTGTCAAACCAAACATCCTTTCTTCCGAAACTATTCACTTTCG